TCCCCTTTAGTTTCCCTTGTCCTTGTAAGTAATGTATTTCTATCTATAATATGCTAGTTGATGCTTGGTTGCTTGCAGGTCTCGAGAGTGAGCTCCAAGGGAGGACGGAACGAGTGAGTCTCGTAACTAATCGGTGAGCGTTCATGAACTAATATGAACAATAATAATTGTAAGGTAGACGTCTTTCAACCGAGCGTATCTGTTGCTGCCCTACTTCATGGGACTGTGTGGGTTCATTTGTCTTCCCATTTGAGCACACAAGTAAACTATTTGATAAGTGAGCGGGCTTACTGCACCAGTGAGTCACAGCAGTTTTGTTTTTTTGTGCATGCAATCACACAAGTTGTATTAGTCACTAGAAGTTGAGACATGCGAGAACTTGGCATCCGTTAAGGTAATTGTCTTGACATTGCAATACTGGCTTCTCCGCACCGAAGACGTCAATTTGATTTGCTTTTAGAGGGCAGCTCGGTACTTGCTGACTCATTTGGTCCTTGTCTCAAAATTACCACGACATCAACGTGGCGTTCTCGGAACGAAACACCAAAGAAAGTATGTACACTTTACTAAAACTAAATTCATCCTTTTTGCATGGACTGCCTTGGGATTCCTACTTCGTAGTTAGAGCGCTATCGAAAAAGTCCGATTACTGATTTGACTAGTATAGAATTTCAAAGGAAGAAGATGCGATCACTGGAAGAAAGGATTTATTTTCCGGACGTTTCGGATTCTGTCGAGAATTCTTAATCATAGGTAATTGTGAGAAAGTCGGAAACATGCGCAGACCCTTATCTTGTTACCTTATTAAATTTTAACCCGAATTCTGAAAAGTATTGCCGCTTCGAAAAAAATACTGAAGTATGGTTGCAACATTCATAATCGTCTAGGCTAATGGCAAGATATTTTAATCAAGTCTGAATGTCGGTGACTTAAACAGTTCGTTTTTAGGGGCTTGCAGAAAACATACGTAAAAAACTCTCTACGTAAATAGTATACATTTTTCCTTGAGTTTAATGGTCCCAATATATTAAAATATTTTTTTAGAAACATGCTTTTAAATATTATTTATTTTACCCCTTCCGTAGAATATTACTTTCTCTTTGATTTAGGTACTTTAAGTTTTGTTCCCATAGTCCTGTAAAAATATCTAAATAAATGGATTTCCCAAACTCTTCATCATCCTATGTATCGGCTCGCTCCTTGATCTTAACTTTTTTAAATTTAAAAGAAACTGATTTTGCATGAATTGGGACTGACCAGGGTGGACATGGCTTACTGTAAAGATAACCAAGCTAAGAAAAGTACAGACTATGCAAAGTAGACAAAAGTGGCTGTCTCTGGTTTGTGTTCCTTGCAAGCCAGGTACAGGTGATAGACCAGCCAAATATCCCCATTCTACTGTTAATATATTCGTTTTCAAAACTTTCACAGCATTAATTTCTCATTGCTGGGTTACCGCTCGACTGCTCCAAACAGACCAAACCTAACTGGGTATTTTCCATCCTGCAATTCAGTGCATGATCGAATGCCAATTTAGTGCGAAAGTGCAAATCACTGGCAGAGCGTAAAAGAAAGTAGTTGTGAACTAGATAAACACTGTTCCAAAAACGAGAGAGACTGGAATGGTCATTTCTGGGCCATTAGCCGTCATCGGCCAGTCATATTCAACCTCAAGTTGTGCACCAGCCGACTCTTGAAACCACGAACATGTGACTAGAAGTCCAACGCTCTAACCCATTGATCCACCGGCTCATTGTCTGGTCGGTTTAGATCGAAAGATATTGATACTCGTCGATAAACGTTCACGGATCGCTAATGGAACTCACTTAGCTATCTAAACTGGCGTGGCTCGAGACTGAGTCCCGAGGTACCGATCGGTAAACGTTAATCAACGAAATGTAAGTTAATTTGTTTATTTCCGTTAACCTGTGCCTGCTACCTGAAGTCTAGGAGTAGGCCGCTTTAATTTAAATTTACTCCCGAAAAAGCTAATCGCTTTCCGTCACGCATAACGCACAGCAACTTAACACTTTCTGTCAGTATGAATGAAACCTATCGGCTGACAAAGAAATATTCTATTGTTTCAGGGTTGTCTCCAACAAAATCCTGGTTACAGCATCTGCTGAAGAGCTTTTGCAGAATGAGTAGATATTTTTAATCGTAATTTGAATTTTCTGCACATCG